CAGAGCATTGAGTTTGGGTGCCACCTCCTTGATGGAAGAGAACAGCCATCTGGAAGTCAAAATCATGTCCAGGGTGGTCAGAACCCAGTGTAATCATGGCTAATTGTGAACTGGTGACATTTCACAATTGTGAACATGGTGACAGGTTGTTGTGCCCAGCTCACCTTGGGACACAGTCCAGTGGTGCTGGAGAGTAATATACCTGGCCACGACCATCTTCCACATAGGTCAAATTGGGCCTCACTGGGCCACCTCAGACCTCCAGGGGGCTGCTATTGTGGCAAGTCTAGGCACAGGCCTGGTGCTCTAAAGAGAACATGATGCCCAGTCTCTTGATGCTTTTTTTTTTTTCTCATTCCAAATGCTCGCTGCAAGGTACAGTGCCTCATTGTGCCTCCTGTGTCACAGGTAGATCAAGTGTGTGGTTGCATTGCTGTACTTGTTTCCCTAGTGAGGGTTACCACATGGATATTCTCCTAATGGTCCAGTGCTGGGCAGCCTAATGGACTGGCAATTCAGCAGGACCTTTAGCAATGGCCTGTGAAGCTGTGCAAAAGGGACTATTCACAAGGGGCTGAGCAAGATAGAGGGAGCCCACAAGGACAGTGCAGTACCCTTGCACAGGTAACTGTAAGGATGCTATCACCCTGGGCCCAAAGACAACCTGGAAGGAGAGAGTCATGTTGAGCTCCCTGAGATCCACCTAACCCAAAATTGCCTGAGTTGCGCCCACAGGAAGAACCTAGGGGAATAAGCGCTTCAACCTCCTCCTTCCCTCTAGTCTTCCAGAGATCCCCATTGGCCAAGCCCACCTGGAGGACACAGAGTCAGGGAACCTGAAGATGCCATCCATATAGTTTAGACATCTAGCAGAAAAGTCAGAAAAGGGATGGAGATTGGCCCTGGAGGGGAAAGAAGATGTGTGACACACAAGAAAGGGTTGTGATTTTTGAATAGGGAGTCTTCACTAAGGAGTTATTCAAGCAAAGATATGAAGGGGTGCAGTAACTCATCTGCTTTGGTCTGAGGGTATCCCCCAAAATTCACATGCTGGAAACTTAATCTCAGTGCAACAGTGTTGGAAGGTGTGGCCTTTTGGGATGTGTCTAGGTCATGAATCCACTCTTAGGAATGGATCGATGCCATTACCAAAGGGCTTGGCAAAGGCAGTTCATTCCCATTTTGCTCTTCCACCTTCTGCCATGTGAGAACGTAGCATTCCTCCCCTCCAGAGGATGGAAAGTTCAAGACAACATCTTGGAAGCAAAGACTAAACCTGTAAGCACCTTGAACTTGACCTTGTCAGCCTCTAGGATTTTGAGAAATGAATTTTTGGCCAGGCATGGTAATATGTGCCTATAATCCCAGTACTCTGGGAGGCTGAGGCAGAAGGATTGCAAGTTTGAATCCAGCCTTGGCAACTTTAGTAACTTAGAGAGCCATTCTCAAAATAAAAAAATTAAAGGGCCGGGGATTTAGCTCAGTGGTTCTGCTGTCTGCCTCACAAGCTCAAGGTCCCGAGTTCGATCCCCGGTACCCCCCCCCCCAAAAAGTTAAAAAGGGCTGGGGATGCATCTTAATATGAAAGTCCTGGGTTCAATTCCAAGTACTGGGAAAAGAAAAGAAACAAAACAAAACAAACTAATTTATGTTCCTTATGAATTCTCAGGCTCTTCTTTATAGTGGTATAAAATAGTCTTAAGACAGGAACTGATGGCAGAGGAGTGGGTGTTGTATAATTTAACACCTCAAAATGTGGAAGCAGCTTTGAAACTGAGCAATGGGTAGAGGCTGGGAGAGTTTTGAAGTGCACATTGGAAAAGCCTTTATTACCATGACCAGAGGATTAAGGGAAGTGCTAGTGAGGGTGTAGAGGTAGAGAAAAGCTGGAAGGAAACCTCATTCTTCCACAAGATGGCTTGAGTAGTCATGACAGCAAAGGCCATTCCGATGAGGTCTCATGAAGCAATGGACAACAAGGTATGGGAACCTGGAGGGAAGGTCATCCCTGCCATCAGTGGCAAAGAGCTTGCCTGAATTGTGTCTGTATCCTATCACTTTATGAAAGGCAAAATTTAAGAGTGATGAACTAGAGCATTTGGCAGAGGAAGTCTTTAAGCTCCAAAGCATTCAGAATCCTTCATGGTCTCTCTTGAGTTGTTATAGTAAAATGTGAAAATAGCAAAATGATTTTTTAACAAGAGAATGATTTGCCATTAAAAGGAAAATATTCCATAAAGACTTGGAAAATTCTTAGCCTAAGTAAAGAATAAAAAAGTGTATTTAGAAGAGGAAACAACTGTGGCCAAGCAACTGTTGCATAAGGAGATTAGAGTGGACAGAAGGAGGCCAAATGCTTTATAAATTATCTTATATCAAGTATTTTTTTAAACAATAGCACAAACAGACTAAGACACCATCTGTGGTAGTTAAGCTTTATTGTGTCAACTTGATTGGCCTCTTAGGAGCCACCTAGGGCATTAGTAAAGTGCATTTCTGGGTTTGCCTGGGTAGGTCATGGAGGTGTAACCTTGAGTATTATATATGGTCCCTGGCCCCTTCCTCTCAGGCACTGTTCCCCTGCTCTGCTCCCTGGTTGCCGTGAACTAAACATCTTTGCTCTGCCATGCCCTTCCTCCATGATGTTTCTGCCTTGAAGCCACCTAACCATGGACTGAATCTCTGGAAACTCTGAGCCAAATTAAACCTCTTCTCCTTTAAACTGTGGGTGTCAGATTGTATATCTCAGAGGTGGGAAAGCTAATATACCATCTAATCCTAACAAAAACTCTATATGACCCATAAATCCCTATTTTACAGTGGAGGAGACCAAGGTACAAAAAGGATAAACAATTTAAGAATTGTCTAAGATCACACAATTGAGAGTTGGTAACGTTGGGATTTGAACCTAGGAAGCTTAGGCCCAGCAATCTTGCTCTTAAACAAAATTGGATATAGATAAATCATCCAAAAACGAGAGGGCAGAAAAAATGTCAAGATGCCTAAAACTGTGATTGACAATCATAGTTGTTATTTATTGAGCACTGACTGTAAACTTGCCACTGTGTTAAGTAGTATGAGGCAGATACAGATGAACAGGATACTATGTTTGTGCTCAAAGAGATCACCATGTAGTTAGAGAGTGGGGAGGAAATACAGGAATGTGTACAAATCAAGTCTTAGCAGACTGGGACACATTCTACTGCACAACTACAGAATGTTCCAGAACACTAAGGAAGGAGGCTCACACGTCTGGGTTGTGGGAAGCTTTCTGGAGGCAGTGGCTTTGGAAGAATTGAAGAAGTATGGCAACAGAAATGGGAAAATAAGGGATTCCAGGAAAGAAACCACATGAGCAAAGATGTGAGTGCCTTTGGGGGACAGCCAGTCATCTGCTTGGTTAGAAGTCATGAGATTTAAGCTGAGAGAGATTTTAGGTGGGACACTGGCATGACTTCAGGTCACACTGAATCACCATGAGTTGATGGTTTCCTTTTCCCTATGGAGAAGTCCCAGCCTGTCTCACAATCTAGCACTTGCTCATCTCTATTTGGGAAGGGGGGTGCAGTATGGAGGACTGATTGAACCCAGGGCCTGAGCAACATTCCCAGTCCTTTTTATTTTTATTTTTTGAGACAGGGTCTTGCTAAGTTGCCCAGGCTGGGTTCAAACTTGCAGTCTTTTTGCCTCAGCCTCCCAGAGTGCTTGGATTACAGGTCTGTGTCACTATAGCAGCTAATTTCACTTTTTAACTCCAAATTCACAAAACTCCAATTTTTCAGTGAGCACTCAAGCTCTGCTTGGAACCTAACATGGTTTTGTTTTCATTGTTTTTATTTTTGCAGTTGTGTCCTATTTAAGCCAATGATAGTTTTGGTTTTTAAAAGATACTGTTGTTTATTTGTGTTTTTTCTCTTACAGATAAATGTATTTAAGAAAAAGAGAGTTGATTAAAGGGATACTATTGAGTTACACATTCAGATGGTTCTTGCCTCTGGCAAAAACCTCTTGCCCTGCCATACAGGACACCCTAGTGGAAAGTTTAAAGCTGTACGGGGAGTAATGGAGGGGAAGAAAGGCTGGAAAGGGGCCTGGGAACCATGGGAAGGAGGACAGGTTTTATTCTGTCAACCAGGGATGCGGGACATTGGCTGAGTGACAGGCAAGAATTATGGTCAAGGTGGTTCTTGGCAGGGCTCACTCTGGCCTATAGGGGGTGGGTGCCGGCTGGGCAGCAGTGGGGAGACTCACTGGGACCTGGCATATGGCCCTGGGCCATGGAGAGGCACCCAACTGAAAGAGGAAGGGGTGGGCTCCAGAGCCCCATCAGCTATGCCATCTGCTACCTGGTTGACCTGCTGTGGTCAGGTTTGTTCTTCACGGATGACCTTTCAGGCTCTCATCCTCCTGGATCCTTGGTACCTCTCCCATATGGCTCACTAAGAACATTCAACAGCTTCCGGCTGAGATTCACAGGGTGCTATGGTTGGATATGGTTTGTCCCCTACGTGAGATCGTGTGGCGGAGGCTTGACACCACTGCAACGGCACTGAAAGATGGTGGAATCTTTAAGAGGTGGCCCCTAGTGGGAGGTCATTGGGAAAACCACCCTGGATATTAAGTAATGCCCATCTCAGGGGAGTGAGTGAGGTTTCTTGGGACTGGATGGGTTACCTCAAGAGAGTGTTGCTATAAAGCAAGTTTGGCTTTCTTGGCTTTCTCTGTTACTTCCTCTCTCACCATGCATTCTCTGTCTCTGTCTCTGTCTCTGTCTCTCTCACACACACACACACACACACACACACACGCAAACACACACCTGCCCTCACCTTGTGATACTCTCTGCCATGAGGCCCTCAGGAAAAGCTGTTCCTCATGCTATTCTCTTAGACCTCCAGAACTGTGAACTAAATAAACTTTTTTCTTTATAAAGTTTCTTGTCTCATGTACTGTGTTATAGCAACAACAGTAATAACAACAAATCAGACTAACACAATGACTCAAGATAACATCAGCAAAGGCTGGTCAGCTACAGTCTTATTAGGCCTGGGAATTGGAAGTACAATCAGAAACGATGGAGAAAATCGAGTCACACCTCTCCAGTATGCGTTTCTTCCTGGGGAAATGATGATATCTGCTTGATGGCCTGCAGCGATTCATTTTATTCCATAGGATGAGCATCTGATTTTCCAACACCTTCATCTTCATCTCGCTGAACAAAAGCCGTTCAAGGATCTTGTCCTGGAGGGCAAAGTGGGCATGAATTTTCTCTATTTCTTTCATGTTTTTGGCATTGTTGCTCTTGGGGCCAGCTTCTCTTGTCTTTGGTTTCTCTGCCTTCTCCTAAACTCCCCACCACCAGGAAGAGGGAAAAATTGGTTAATAATGATAATCCCAGGCCGGAGGATTTAGCTCAGTGGTTCCAGCGCCTGCCTCGCAAGCGTAAGGTCCCGACTATGATCCCCGGTACCTAAAAAAAAATGATAATCCCTTCCCACACTGAACACCTGCTCCCTGCCATGATCTTATCTCACACCTTCCTCTCATTTTGTGGGTGATAGAATTGAGGTCCCATGAAGAAAAGCCACCTTCTTATTATCATATAAACCCCAACACCCAAGAATCATTTACAGGAATCATTTGCCAGTTGCAGATGACATAAAGCCCTTCACTCAAACATATCTATCTCCAGAGTCATTTTTCCAGTGTGGCCGTCTGAGCATTTTGTCAGGCCCAGGAGAACCTCAGACTGCAAAGTCTCAGTAGTCTCGTGACATGCTCTTCCCTCTCTAATTCTCATTAATTCTCCTCTGTCCTCCTCCCCTTAATTAGTAATACTTTATTCTTCTTTTTGAATTCAGCTACAAACTACTGATCTTTAATATTTCAGATGTGTCAAAAAAGTAAATATTACAACAAAATTGATATTCCCATACCATATTCCCATATTTAAGAAATAAAATATCACAAATATAATTGAAATCCTCTGTGGACCCCTGTCTTATAAATATTCCCCTACCCTCCTGAAAATCATTTTTTCAAATATAATCCTGAATTTGATATGTATTTTTCCATGTTTTTTCCCCAGTATGGGGGATTGAACCCAAGGTCTTGGCATTGAGCTAAATCTGTAGCCCTTTATAAATTTTTCCTTGAAATTTAAGACGAGGTCTCATTAAGTTGTCCAGGCTGAGCTTGAACTTGCAATCCTCCTGCCTTGACTTCCCAAAGTGCAGGGATAACAGGTGTGTGCCACCATGATTGGCTTGCATGCATTTTTTTATGCGAGGCTGTTCTGTCCTCATTGGGTGACGTGTAGCAATGTCTGGAAATATTTTTGGTTGCTACAGTGTGGTAGGGTGATATTGGCATTTCCTGGATAGAGACCAGGGCTGCTGCTAAACTTCCAACAATGCACAGGACAGACCTCACTACAAAGAATTACCCTTTTCAGAATGTCAGTAGCACCAAGGATGAGACATCTTGCCTCAAGGTACTTTCACTACACATATGCAGCCATAAACAGTTGAAGGTATTGTCTTGCTTTTTGTTGTTGTTGTTGTTCTTTTGAGACAGGGTCTCACAATGTAGTTCAGGCTGGCCTTGAACTCACTGTGTAGCTCAGGCTGGTGATCTTCCTGTCTCCTAAGTGCTGGGATTTTAGGCGTGTGCCATCACATTTGGCTGCACGTTTTTAAAGCTTATATAAAAGCTACCTGTTATAGTATAGATGTGGAATGTCCCCCAAAGGCCCGTGGGTTAAAGGCTTGCTCCCCAGTCAGTAGTGCCATTGGAAGTGGTGGAACCTTTAAGAACTGGGGCCTAATGGGAGGCCTTCAAGTCATAGGAGGGATGCCCTCAAAGGAAATGTTTTAGCTCCTCTTTCACTATCTGGCCATAAAGTGAATGGTTTTGCTCCACCACTGTGCCCACTTACCAGAGGCCTAAAAACAGCGGGTCTGCCTTACCATGGACTAGACCCTCCAAAACTGTGAAAATAAATAAAATAAACTTTTCCTTTTCTCTTTATAAGTTAATAACTTCAGTTGATTATTTGTTACAGTAACACAAAGCTGACTAACACAATTTCATAATCTATGTACATTTCTGCTGTCTTCATTATTATATTTTAGACTTTTACCTATGCTGATACATGTACCTAGTTTATCTATTTAAGTATATTCCACTTAGAGTAGTTGATACTGTTACTGAAGCAGGAAGCATGTTGACATTAAGCAGGAATAGGAGAGTCCAGGATGATCCCTATTTTATAGCTGAAGCAATTGAAATCTTGAGGAGGCAAGTGATTCACCCACTATCACCCACGAGGAAGTCACAGGGCAGGGACTTAGACCAGAATCTCAAATTCCTCAGTCTTGCCCCATTATCCTGACCCCTTTTTTGTTTCTGCCTCCACTCAATCTAGCTGAATATCCCATAACCCTCAGTGATAGCTGATAGGTCTTTCACTACCTCAGCAGCTATTACGTATAGTAGCTGCCCTCTTCCTATTGTGCCTTGCCCCCTCCCCTGTGTGACGTCATGCCAAGATGGTTGCTCCCACCGAAGAATAAACCCTTCTTCCCAGCATGCCCCTGTTCCCACCTAGAAAGTAACCTAATACTCGCTCACCTCTTACCACCTAGTGACATCACCGGCTCCTCCATTCCCTAGTCACTACCTCACTCAACCCCACCTTAGCTCCTACAAACCCCACCCCAGTCTCTATAAAAGACTCTCCCTGCCCTGGCCATATTGCTTTTGTCTCTCCTTTGTTCAGAGTCAGCCTGGCAGATCTGTTCCCCTAATAAAGGCTTGTTATGGCCTTGGTCTTTGGCCCTTTTACCTGACAATAGCTAAGACCCCTCTTGCTCACCTGTGGGGTTTCTGAGGGGGTGGCTTTGGACTCATACTTGACCAGCCAGTTGCTAAGCAATAACAGAAGAAATAGGAATCCAAACAAGAATGGCTTGTAGTTCATCAGCCAAGTCACCACTGCTCCTACCATGCCTGAGGAAGAATTAAGTGGAGACTCCTAAAAAGAAGTATTAGTTCCCCCAACATTATGGTGTGGAGGCACACAGGCCCTAGAACCCTGCCTTAGTCTCTTCCATGATAGGAGTCTCAGCCCCCAGCTCCCCTGAGTCATAACCAGTTAACCTTCTCCACCCACCTGCCGCATAACAATAACTTCTCTTATGTTTTAAGCACCAACTATGGGCTAGGCTCTTTGACAGGCAGTTTGCAAGCATCGTCTCATGGTGTCCTCATAAAAGCCAGGCGATGTAGGGCTTAGTCACACCTCACTTGTCATTCCACAGTACTTCTGGGTCCAGCCACTGGGTGCAAAATGGCCAATGACACAGCACCTGCACTCATGTCAGGGAGACTGCAGAGAAAAATGACCCAGAACTTGGAAGTAAAGCAAAAAGATTACTGTGTGCCCATTCATGGTCACAATAGAATGCTGTTTAACAAGCTGCCTACTGGTTACCTGATGCTTTAGGGAAAGTAATTTTGTTTGACTTACTATTTAATATTGATTAAGGTCCCTACTCTGTAAAGTTAAATGCTGGCTTTTAAAAAATGGACAAGTTGCTCTAGCATTTGCACTTCTGGAAATGTTATTCAGCCTTTAAAAGGAAGGAAATCTTATGTTACAACATGGATGAAATTTGAGGATATTATTCTAAGTGAAATATGACAAGAAAAATACAGTATATGATTCCACTTACACGAAGTACCTAGATTAGCCAAATTCACAGAAGTAGAAAGTAGAATGGTGGCTACTAGGGGCTGAAGGGTGGAGAGAATGGAGAATTGTTTAACAAGCGCAGTTTAGCAAAATGAAGCATTCTAGAAATTGTGTAACAATGGGAATGTACTTAACACTACTGAATACTACACTTAAAACGGCTAAGATGGTAAATTTTTAAGTTAAGATGATAAATTTTTGTGATGTGTATTTTATTACAAAAAACCTCCAAGATGAATTTAGTTTTTTCTGGGGAAAAATCAACAAGTTGCAAATTAATTAATTAATTAATTTACTTGTATGGGGATCGAACTCAGGACCTTGCACTTGCAAGGCAGGCATGGTGCCACTGAGCTAAATTCCCAGCCCCTTAATTTCTATATTGCCAATAGATATAGATGAATTCTGTCTAACAGAAAAGAAAACAAAACTTTACTGTCTTATGGTCTTCAATATTAACTTTTTTTCCTATTTAACTTTGCAACTGCATTTCAGTATTCTTTTTTCCACTGACTATTGACCACATATCATTGTCTCATATTTTCCTTTGATTCAGCTTTATCATCCTGCTGGGTCTCTTAATGGTGAGTTAAAAATTTTTTTTTTTGTTACCGGGGATCAAACTTGGGACTTGCGCTTGTGAGGCAGGCTCCGGAACCACTGAGCTAAATACCTGGCCCTGTGAATTAAATTTTTGAAATATGTTCATTATTTTGCACGGGAGTTCTTTACCAGCTTTGCTGGGTGGATGTGGTGGTGCACATTTATAATCCCAGCTATTCGGGAAGATGAATAAACATTAATCCCTTGTTTCTCCTCTTCCCACTCTCAGGTTTCAAGCCTCAGAGACAACCACTTCCCACTTTCAGCTGTTACCTCTAGTTGCCTTGACATTACTAAATAGCATACTTACATTGCTATTTCTTGATGTCCCAATTGTGACATTATGCATTACCTTTTTGTGATGGAAGATTTAGCTCTGATGCAATACTTTCTCCAACCCTACCACATCAGCCCTTCTCTAAACCCCTGTCAATTCTCTTCCTCACGTCTCTCTACTCTTCAGTCTCCAAATATAATTCTATGACTTTGGTTATCCATTGATAATGTTCATTATGGCCGTGTCAATGTAACTTCACAGCAGAGACTTATGCTGCACTGTGATTTCATTTTTTTTCTTGCATAACGGTTTTTTTCCTGAGTTGGCATCCTCATTTGTTTTTTTTAAAATTCAATGTCATTAAATCTGCATAAAAAAAAGTACCTGTTTTACATGTATTATTTAATAAACTTTGGTGAATATTGACGCCCTTGTTACCATTACCCCAATTAAATACTAAAGCATTTCCATTATCCCCAGTAAGTAATTCCCTCCTGTTCTTTTTTTGGGGGGGGGTGCCGGGGATCAAACTCGGGACCTTGCGCTTTGCCAGGCAGGCGCCAGAACCACTGAGCTAAATCCCCGGCCCTTCCCTCTTGCTCTTTAGCTCTCAACCCTCCACTATCACAAGAAACCACTCATTGCATTTTATCACTAAAAAGAGTTTTACCAGTTCCTGGAATAGCATTTTGAAAGACTACTTTGAAGGGACAATTAAAAAGGCACGTTGGGTGCGGTGGCGCACCTCTGTAATACCAGAATGAGGGAGGCTGAGACAGGAGGATTGAGACGCTGTCCCAAAACAAAAAAATAAAAAAGAAACGGGAGTGTAGCTCAGTAGCAGAGCGCCCCTGGGTTCGAAAACTAGTACTGCAAAATGAATGAATGAATGAATGCAAACGTAGATCTGTGTAATAATTGGAAATAAGTTCGAAAAACACAAGACCTTTTCTAATGTTGGGTCAGGGAGGCCTCCTGGAAGAATTAAACGAATAAACCACCTCATTATTAGAAACAAATGACCCGGAGTAGCAGAGGTGTGACGCGTGTGTGGATGGGGGACACCGGGGGTTGCAAAAGAGGGTGCGTGAATGGGGAGGGGGCCAGACAGAAGGAAGAACACGAAGAGTAATTCCATTTGGAATCAAACGTGAGTTTCTAATAATTTCTCTCCATTCCCTTACCACCGAAACTCATGAGCTCAATTTTTTTCCAGTGCAAGCCAATCACGAATAAATACAAAATCTACAGGTCACGCTTGTGTTTTCACCCATTAACTTGTGTTTTCGCCCATTCTTAAAAAGTAAGAATTTCGTAATTCAACCTTTGTCACGTAATAGCTATTAGCAAATACTGCTTGAATTGACTAATGGGTGGGAGAATGAATGAGTAAATAACTCAAGTGCCAGAAGGAAACAGTCGCCTTCGGAGGCGCAGTCCGGCCCAGAAATCCGGAACTCTCCGCCTGTGCTGGGGCCGATTCCCTCAGCTGCATAGTCGCTCTAGCCAGCCCGGCGCTCTTGGACACGGAACCGCTCTAGCTTCCAGGATGCCGCTCTATGGCAGCGGGGCGGGGCGGGGCGGGGCCCGTGGGCGGTGCAGGGTCTTTTTGTCTGGACGAGGCGAGAGCGCGCACAACGCTGGCGTACGCGGTGGCGTTTCGTGGCACGCGGACTTCGTGAAGCGAGGCGAGGAGTGGTGAGGCTGCTTCGGACTCACGGAGCGACAGACCGAGCGGCCCCTGCGGCCGTCGGCTGCCAGGCGGCCCGAGATGTTGTCTGGAAAGAAGGCAGCTGCCGCGGCGGCGGCGGCGGCAGCGGCGGCCGGAACGGAGGCCGGACCTGGGGCGGCGGGCGGCGCTGAGAACGGCTCCGAGGTGGCCGCGCCACCTGCGGGCCTGTCGGGCCCCTCTGAGGTCGGGCCTGGGGCGGCCGGGGAGCGCACTCCCCGCAAGAAGGAGCCTCCGCGGGCTTCGCCTCCCGGCGGCCTGGCCGAGCCGCCGGGGTCCGCCGGGCCTCAGGCCGGACCCACGGTGGTGCCCGGGTCTGCGACCCCCATGGAGACGGGAATATCAGAGACTCCGGAGGGGCGACGGACCAGCCGGCGCAAGCGAGCCAAGGTGAGGCCCGATACCTTCTGCGGCGCGCGCCAGGACTCTCTTCCTCGAGGGTCCCCGCCCCGGGCTGGGCCTGAAGTCCCGCGACCACCCAGCCCTCAGCCGGGACCCCGGGCTGCCTCGTAGCCTGGGGGGTGGGGAGTGGGGGTTGGCGGGGGGAGAGAGGGTTGAAGTCAGCCTTTGTGCGGAGCCTGCGGACCTGCGGACGTCTGTAGGGTGTTTATCATTAAGTCTTGTACACCTTTTCGTCTTTCGGGCTAGGAAAAATGGCTTCCCGGTATGGAGTCGTGGTTGGCGTTTTTGGAGATACCTCTTGTTTGTCGATTTGTGGAAGTTGTACAGTAGTATCGATGGCTTCTCAGCTGGTGCACAAGGGATTTGTTTGGAGGATGATGCTGAGGCGATCGCCTTAGCCAGGGGACAAAAAGGAAAGACTTTTAAAGCGTTTGTTGTCTGCTTTGTAGTTTGGGTCTTTTTAAATTTTGCTTTCTCAGTGATCTTTTGGTATAGATTTTTGTAGATACGGAAGTCGATGAGGAGGGCTAATTAAGGTGCAAATATATGGGAAGAAAGATTTGGCACCAAACAGTATACAGACAATAACTGGTTTCCATCTCTTTGTGCCAGCTGGTGTGTCCCACGGGTCACCCAACATTTTACTTTTGCTAGACACTAACAGGCAGGTATTGTTAGCCCCTTTTAGGAATGAGTAAGCTGAAGCTGCCGGTTTAAATACCTCGCCTGAAGTTAAAGGGTTAAGTGGTATTGCTGGCATTTAGGCCTCACACTTCTATTGTGACAGGGTATCATTGGTCCCTGAAACAAAAGACCACATGGGACAATATCTGTTCAGGGGACTGGGGCAGCATTAGGCCACAGACTTTGGCTTTTTCGGGAGATCTTATATTCTAGTTGAAAAAACTGGAAATATATGCGAATATAATAAATGTACAAAGACGACTGGGTGTATTTCAGTGCTAGAGTGTTTGTGAGGCAGTGGACTAGATCCCCGGTACTGCTAAACAAATAGGTAAGTAAGATTAAAATTGAGCAGCTCATGTAATTTATGCTTATATAAAAATTACGATATTTACCCTATTGTTTAAAAAAATTTTTTTTTAATTTTATTGGTACATTTTAGGTATACAATATAGTGACATTCATCATTGGAAATTTGCACCTTTACATAATTGGTGCCTATTTTTGGTTCTTATTTTTCCCCCTTCCCCTGCTCTTCCTTTGACCCCTGGATCCCTCCCTGTTTACAAAGACTTTGTTTTCATTTTTTGATATTTACCTTATTGTTTTGCTCCATTTTTTTTTCTTTGGAAACTGGATCTCACTGAACAGCCCAGGCCACACTGTCCAGGGATCATTCTGCCTCAGCCTCACCAAAGCCTGGGTTAGAAAAGCATGGAGGTTGGTGATCCCAACCCTCAGAAATGAATTAGAGCGTAGAAAAAGGCCAGTAAGAAAGTGTGGCCTGAAATCATGTGGGGTGTTTTGTTTGAGACAGGGTCTCACTGGGTAGCCCAGGCTGGTCTGGCGATTCTCCTGCCTCAGCCTCCCAAGTGCTGGGATTACAGGCATTCACCACCACACCTGGCTCAGGTAGTTTTGTTTTTTGTGGGTTTTTTTGTACAGGGGATTGAATTTGGGACCTTGCGCTTGTGAGGCAGGCAGGGGCACCACTGAGCTAAATCCCCAGCCCTCATGTAGTGTTTTTTTTTTTTTTGTACTGGGGATCGAACTCAGGACTTTGTGCTCGCGAGGACAGGCGCGGTGCCACTGATCTAAATCCCTGGCCTCATGTAGTATTTTTAAAACAGGAGAGTCATTGTTATAATTTACAGTTCACTATATTGAAGTGTATAGTTAATTGAGTGGTTTTTATCATATTCACTTGTTTAATCTGCACCATCATCAATTTTTAGAACATTGCCCCTGAGACATAACTGTATGTATCATTAACAGTCACTCCATTCCTCTCTGGCTCCAGCCCCTGGCAACCACTAGTATACCTTCTGACTCCATGATTTGCATGTTCTGGACATTTTGGCTGGAATCGTACAATATGTGGCCTTTTTATTTGGTGTTAGCATGTTTTCAGGGTTCATCCATGTTGTACTTCCATTCAATACTTGATAATTATTATGGCTAAATTCCGCTGTATGGAATTCACCTTTTGTTTATCCATTTGATGGACATTAGGGTTGTTTCCACTTTTTGGCTGTTATGCATAATATGGCTATGAACATTTATTTTTATCTTTTTTATTGAGTATAATTGACAAAATCATATATAAGGTGTACAACATCATGTTTTGAGATATTGTATGATTACTACAATCAGGCTAATTAACATATCACCTCACATACTAATAACAATTCTTAATGTCCTCAGAAACATTTTATATTAGCACAAGTAAAAAAAAAAAGGAAAAATGTGCTTAGCATCACAGAGACAGATTAAAACAGCTAAGTGAACAGCGTTCTAGATGATTTGATCTCTGTATATTAATGCATTTTAAAAATAAAAAGTTGGCACTGGCATATATACTGTTGTAACTTGCTGTTTCACTTAATGGAGTGTAGTGGACATCCTTTCACCTCAATAAATTTATTGATCTCTTCATGATATAATTAATAACTTTCCCATTCCCCTTATTACCATCCCTTATCTTCTCCTCCTTCCCTTTTATGTCTCTTCTTTCTAATAATACTTTCCCCTCTGCTTTCATGTCATCATTTTTAGATTCCATATGTTAGGGAAAACATGTGACATTTGTCTTTCTGGGTTTAGCTTATTCCATAATACTCCATTGTGTATATGTACCACATTTTCTTTATCTGTTCTTCTGTTGATAGGCACCTAGGCTTGTTCCATATTGTGGCTGTTGTGAATTGTTCTACAATAAAAATGGCTATGTAGGTCTCCCAGTAGTATGGTGACTTCTAATTTGAGTATAGCAAAGAGTGGTATAGATGGGTCATATGGTAGTTCTGTTTTTAGTTTTTGAGGAACTTCCATACTGATTTCCATAGTGACTGCACTAATTTACATTCCCACCAGCAGTGTAGAAGAGTTGATGTCACCCCCCCACATCCTTGCTAATATTTATGTAAGTATGTATTCTTTTTTTCTTTTTTGGTACCGGGGATTGAATTCGGGTCCTTGCGCTTGTGCAACAGGCAGCGAAACCACTGAGCTAAATCCGCGGCCCAGTATGTATGTATTCTTGATAGCCATTCTGACTGGGGTGAGATAGAATCTCAGTGTAGTTTTGATTTGCATTTCCCTAAGGCTAAAGATGTTGAACATTTTTTCATATACTTATTGGCCATTTGCGCTGATTCTTTTGAGAAATGTCTGTTCGCTTGCCCATTTATTGATTGGGCTATTAGATTTTTTGGTGCTGAGTTCTTTGTATATTCTATATATTAATCCTCTGTTGGAAGAGTAATTGGCAAAGATTTCCTCCCTTTCTTAGGTTGTCTCTTCACTCTGTTGATTGTTCTCCCTGGTTGTGCAGAAACTTCTTTGATGCAGTTCCGTCAAAAAATAGGGAGAAGGGCCGGGGATTTAGCTCAGTGGTTCCATCGCCTGCCTCGGAAGCGCAAGGCCCCGAGTTCGATCCCTGGTACCAAAAAAAATAGTAGGGAGAATATTCTTCCTATTATTCCTTTGCTTCTTTTGGTTTTGATTTTTTGTTGTTGTTGTCGTTTTGATTTTTTGAGATAGGGAGTTACTATGTAGTTCAGGCTGGCCTTGAACTGCACAATCCTCCTGCCTCACCCTCTCGAGTCCTGGAATGGCCCTATTATTGCTATTATTTATTGTGTTATTGGGCTCCTATTCAAAAATTCTTTGCTTGTGCTTATGGCTTCAGTTGTATTGAATTTAATATATCCCCCCTTTTTTGTTTTTTTTGAGACAGCATCTTGCTATGTAGTTCAGGCTGGCCTCAAACTCAGTATGTAGCCCGGACTGGCCTCAAACTATCAATCAGTCCTGCCTCAGCCTACCAAGTACTGGGATTACAGGTGTGCAGCCACCACACTCAGCTTCCGCTATGTTTTCTTCTAGCAGTTTCAAAGTATCCAGTTTTGTATCAGGACTTTGTTGCATTTTGATTTGATTTTTATATAGGCTGAGAGAGAGAGGGATCTAGTTCCAGTCTTCTACATATGATATCCAGTTTTCCCAGTCCCATTTAATAAAGAGCTATCTACTCTACAATGTATGTTTTTTGCTCCTTTGTCAAGAATCTTGTGGTTGCAGACTGGGAATTTAGCTCAGTGGCACCACAGCTGCCTCACAAGTGCAAGGTCCTGAGTTTGATCCCCGGTACCAAAAAAAAAAAGTCAGGTGGTTGTAGTTGTGTAGGTTTGTTTCTTTGTCCTCTAGTCCATTGGTGTATGTCTACTTTTTAGACACTTTTTTTGTGTGTGCCAGTACCATGCTGGTTTTGTAACTATGGCTTTGTAGTATAATTTGAAATCTGGTATTATGATGCCTTCAGCCTTGCTGTTTTGCTTGGAATTGCTTTGGCTATCCTGGGTCTTTTATTTTTTCATATGATATTAGGATTGTTTTTTTGAGTTCTGTGAAGAATGTTATTGAGATTGTATTGATTCTGAGGATCACTTTTGGTAATATGACTATTTAAAAAATATTAATTTTTATGATCCATGAACATGGGAGGTCTTCTGTTGTCATCTTTAATTTCTTTCTTTAGTATTTTGTATTTATTATAGAGGTCTTTCACCTCCTTGGTTAGGTTGGTACCTAGGTGGGTTTTTTTTTTTT